AACTGGCTGTCCTGTGAATGTGATCAATAATTTAAATGAAAAAAAAGCCCAGCAGTGATTGTCCCCTCTGTACTGAGCCTGGTGGACAGCAGCTCTTCCAGTTGAGTCCCTCAGACCCTGAGTCTGTCCTTGTGCATCTCCAGTCCACACAGATGTTCCAACCCCTCCAGTTGTGGCCCCAGTGTCTCTCTGTGTGGAGCCGACTGCATGACTGAGACTCTCTAACAGCACAGTGGAGCTGAACTGATACTGATACCCTAAAACACCCACAGGCTGAACAGAGCGAAGACTCAGGTCACCTCCTCCTCCTTATTCTTATAGGTAGTAGTAGCAGTAGCAGTAGGAGGAGCAGTAAAATATTAATAGTAGGTATTAATAGTAATAGTGGGTAGCAGCAGTATCAGTGGCAGCACTAGTAGTAGCTGTAGTAGCAGAAGTAGAAGCATTAGCAGTAGTAATAGTAGTAGTATTGGTAGTTATGCTATATTTTAACTCTTTAGTTCAACAATATAGCGGCTGTGTTGCAGCTTCAGCAGAAGAGTAGGAGTCAGTCCTTGTTACAACACCCAGTGAGAACACAGCTCACCTCCTCCTTATTAATAGTAGTAGAAGTAGTAGCAGTGGCAGCAGTAGTAACAGTAACAGTAGTACCTGCAGCAATAGTAACAGTAGTACTAGTAGCTTTAGTAGCATTAGTAGTAGCAGTAAAATATTACTAGTTGCAGTTGTATCAGTAGCAACGATAGTAGGAGCTGTGATTTAAGGCACCAATTAAAGAAATTCCTACAATGACATGACAACATATTTTTTGAAAGGGACATATTATCTTCAGTAAAACTGCAGTATCTCTTCACTCCCCTGTCCTTAGGAAATGGGCCTGTTTCATCAGAGCTTTACTGGAACTGCAGGTCAGACTCCACAGTGAGTTTGTGGTTTGTGCTGTGATGTGCAGTGCAGTGTGATGAGGCAGCTGAGAGCTGAGCTGTACAGGAAGACACACGGAGGAGCCCAATGTTCAGAGCTCCAGTGCTGTACAGGAAGACACACAGGGGAGCCCAGTGTTCAGATCTCTAGTGCTGTACATAGACACACAGGGAGTCCAGTCAGAGCTCTATTGCTGTGCAGTGAGGCACACAGGGGAGTTCAGAGCTCTACAGGGTGACAGGTCCTTTCCCCACACAGCTCTCTCAGTGTGTCTCTCAGGGCTGAACAGGAGGGGCTGTTCCTGTCAGAATGGAGGCTGACTCTCAGAGCTCCAGTGTCAGTATGAGGAGAAGCTCTCAGACCTGACTGCTGCCAGACCCACTGAGCCTGAGTGGCCATGAGCACTGAGCTACTCAGCAGCTGAGAAAAGCCTCCTGTCTCCTGTGGTCACAGTGTGGTTGAACACCTGCACTGTCTTCCTGCTCCTTCTCCTCTCTCTCCCCCTTCCTGTCTCTCTCGTTACGTGTGCTCTTATCTTTCCATCTCTTTCTCCTCTTCTCTCACTCTGACAATCTGTGCAGAGTATCTGAAGGGGATGTTACATCACTTGGCAAAGGAAAAAAAATTCTCAGAAGCAGACTAAAAAAAAAACTCTTCTCAGTCAGATTCACAGATTCACAGCTCAGACTCACACACAGAGCTCTGGGTCCCTCAGTACTTTACCCAAACTCCTCCCTCCTGAACAGACAGAAGCTCATCTTCATACTGTTCTCTATCCTGATAATCCAGAACCAGAGGAGATTCAGACAATCAGTGCTGCTACATGAATATTATCAGACAGAACAGCCTGGACTCAGGTCACATCTCCCCCTTTACTCCTTCCTCACAGCCTCTTACAGACAGAGCAGAGCTCCTGGTTCTCATCTCTGTGAACTGGGCACAGGGGTCACTGATCTTGCAGCTGTGGGCTCTGTTCCAGGTCAGAAGCAAGAAACTTCTATTAACCCTTTCCAGGACCTCCAGCCCTTCAGTATTACGGTCCTGATTCATTGTCTTTACTGTAAGTCAGCCTCCAAACTTCTGTCAAAAGTGTTTGATTTACAATTGAATAGTATATGATTATCTCTTATTATTATTTTTACTGATTTAAAGAACAACAGTATTGCCACTCTTATCAGTATATCATGATTATCAGTAGCAGCATACCGATGGTCGTGTCTACAACAGTGACCAGTAGCTCTGAGCTGTGAGACTCAAATCACACATAAGACCTGTCTGTGTGTGATTCCACACCAGAATTCAGCTGTTATCACACGTCTCTCACAGAGAGTCTTATAAATATACAGTATAAATATACAGTTAAAGAGAGTCTGATAACAATTATACAGTTAATTAAATCATCAAACCGCCTGAGGAACTGAGAGCTCGAGTGGAAATGCTCTGCAACCTCCATGATCAGGAGTCTGATCCTCCTGGCTTCTATTCTGTGGAGATTCGTGTAAAACGCTTAAAAGCACTCATTACAGGGACTTGTGCCCTTTCTCTTCTGCTCTACGGGAGTACGCTATACAACGCATTAGTCTGTGAAGTAAACTATTTTTTTTCTGTTTAATGAATTTCATTCCTCAGTTCGTCACTCTCCTTCTCCAACTGTTATGAATCGCCTCTCTTCACAGCCCGGTGTGTTTTTTTTGGAGATGTTATATCTGTAAGAAAAGCCCCCCGGGGGCGGAGACGCGCTCTGCTCTGTCAGGAAGAGCGCTGTGACGTCACAGCCACCAGCCAGAGCGCCGGGATCAGAGGGCAAGACCGCGGCAGGCGCGCTGAGCGCATGGAGGAGAGTTATTGATCACTTATCTATTGACAACCAATTCATTCAACTGAATAATCGATTAACTTCACCGATTTGTGAGTACTGATTATTTTCCCGTTCTTGACCCTGTTTTAAATATCTAGAAAACAGTCAATACCGCCTCTATCGATCAATTACCATAGTGCGTTTAGTGCTAATAATGTTCAATCCGAAATTAAAGAATGATTATTCAAATTATTTTTTAGGAATTGTATCCTAGAGCTTCAAAATTATATTCCAAGTTGATAAATTTGTGTAGGTAACAGTTTAAATGCATTTTTCCACTGTTTACAAATCATACGTATGGTACCCACGGCAAAACGTGCCAAGTCACTGTGCCCAGCTAGGTGTCTCGCCTTCGTCACAAAGAGCAGTGTGACGTCACGGACAGCAACTAATACAAATGCTAGTGTATTCATGTTAATATTAGTGAGAGTACAACTGGTAGTTTTAATATTAATGCTAGTGTTCATGTGAGTATTAATGGTGATAGCGCTACTGATAGTTTTAATGCTACTATTCATGTTAATATTAGTGATTATTATAGAGTTACTGTCAGAGTATTTACATTAGTCGTCATGTTAGTTTTAGTGATAGCATTACTGTTATTATAAGTATTCGTAGTGCAGTAGTAGTAGTAGTTCATGTAAGTTTTAGTGGTGATGATGAAATGTAAGTCTTAGTGACAGTGTTACTTTTGTAATGTTAGTGGCATTGTGTTAGTGTTATTTATAGTGTATTTGTAGTTATGAGTGTATGTGGAGTGTGTCTGTGAGTGTGTGGTGTTTGTGAGTGTGTGGATGTGTTTCTGTAAGTAGTTGTAGTGTCTATGTGAGTCTGTGAATGTGTGTGAGTATGTGTGTAAGTGTCTGTGTGTATAAATGTGCGTGGTGTCCGTGAGTGTGTGTTGTGTCTATGTGTGTCTGTGAATGTGTGTCTGTGAGTGTGTGTAGTGTATGTATGTATAAATGTGTTTGGTGCCTGTGAGTGTGTGTAGTGTCTGTGTGTGAATGTGTGTGGGTGTATATCTGTCAGTGTGTTTGAATGTGTGTGTAGGTGGGCTTGGGCTCCACTGCTTTGTCTGAGAAGTGACCCATTAAAGATGTTCTGGTCCAGAGTTGCTTGCGAATGGAACCACTTTCTAGAGTCTAGGCCAGCTTCCAGAGAGCTGTGAGTACTCTGTTTTTATCACTATTACTGTCACAACCACCAGCCAGCGGGGATCATCTCGTAAAAGAACTAACCAGTACCAGCAGCGGGTTAATAATAATAAGAAGCGCTGCCGCACGTGTTAATCCATCAGCACTCGCTCTACTGTGCGGCAAGCAGCACCATCCAAAATCACTTCCCGCTGCTCGGTATTGAGTTAACTCCACCTGACGATTCGGATTGTTTGCCTCCTGTGTTTGTCCTGGATTTCAACCTACCTTCTCCCATTGACCACAAACTTGCCTCTCGATTTCAGATAGTTTGTTGCTTTGTCTACCAGCTACTCCTGTGGCTACACAGGATCCATATCTCCTCAGATCAACTGTTCTCTAACTTTCAGCTTTCAGTGTAAGCAATTATTATTATTATTATTATATCAAGGAGGCCCTGGATTCCGGTTTCATTCGTCCCTCCTCATCTCCAGCCCGTGCTGGGTTTTTCTTCACAGGGAAGAAGGATGGCTCCTTGAGGCCGTGTATTGACTACAGAGGGCTGAACTCCATTACAGTCAAGCATCGCTACCCCTTGCCTTTAATCCCAGCCACTCTGGAGTCTGTACGCAGAGCATCCATCTTCTCAAAATTAGATATATGGGGGGCTTATAATTTAATCAGGATCCGTGAAGGGGACGAGTGGAAGGCGGCCTTTATGACCACACACGGGCATTATGAATATCAGGTGATGCCTTTTGGACTCGTTAATGCCCCGGCGGTCTTCCAGTCCTTCATGAATTACATCTTTAGGGACATTATTGGAGATTTTGTTTTGTATATTTGGACGACATCCTCATTTTTTCCGCCGACCCTCAGGAACATGTCCGTCATGTCCAGGAGGTCTTCTCCAGACTCATTGACAACAAGCTCTACGCCAAGCTCGAGCTTCTGGGCTACATTATTTCTCCCTTTGGAGTGGAGATGGACTCAGCTAAGGTCGCGGCTATCAATGACTGGCCAGTGCCTCGCAATTTAGAGCAAATCCAACTCTCCGGCTCGGCTCCACTCCTATGGGATCCGGATCCCTCTCTGCCTTTCATTGTTGAGGTTGACGCCTCTGCCCATGGGGTTGGTTCAGTCCTCTCCCAGCGCCACGAAGAGGAGCGCGTTCCACATCCCTGTGCCTTCTTTTCTAAGAAACTCTCTCCTGCTGAGGTTAACTATGACGTGGGTAATCGTGAACTCACCACCCCTTTGTCATTATCATGGACATAAGAAACTGTCCTATATTCTATCTGCCAAGCGCCTCAACTCGCGTCAGGCCCATTGGTCACTTTTCTTCTCTCGTTTCAATTTTGTCATCACCTAAATGCCTTACTCCAAGAATGGGAGGGCTTATGCACTCTCTCGGCTCCATGACCCCCCAGACCTAGACTACACACCTGAACCAATCATCTCATCCAACAGAATCGTGGCGGCGATTCACTGCTCTATTGAGGATCAGATCAGACTTGCCCTCAACGGAACTACAGTTCCTCTGCGCTGTCCCCCGGATAAGCTTTTTGTGGTGGATCGCTTGCGTTCATGCTGTCTTGCAGTGGGGTCATGACTCCCGGTTTGCGGGTCATCCTGGCAACAGTTCACTTCATTATGGATCTTCCTAACAGTCAAGGCCATACATCATGGTGGTTTCCGATCGATTTTCCAAAATGGCGCATTTTGTCCTCCTCCCCGCACTGCCCACGGCCCGGGAAATGGCATCACCGTTTCTGCAGAAGGTTTTCAGGATACATGGTCTGCCCAGGGATGTGGTCTCTGAGAGGGGCCCTCAATTTGCCTCTGCCTTTTGGAAGGCTTTCTGTCAAGCACTTGGGACCCATGTATCCTTGACTTCTGGAAATCACCCTGAGGCCAATGGACAGGTGGAAATGACTAACCAAATCCTCCTTACTTTTCTGAGAACATTCACCTCCTCTTCACAGGATGACTGGTCATCACTGCTTCCCTGGGCAGAGTATGCCCATAACTCCCTTACCTCCTCCTCCACAGGTCTCTCTCCCTTCCTCTGTTCATTAGGATATCAACCCCTCTCATCCCCGACACCCCTCCGGATATGGCTGTGCCTTCAGTGCAACAATTCATTTCCAAGCTGCGGAGGTCCTGGAGAATGGCTAGGACAGCTCTCACCAAGTCGTCCCAGCGCCAGGCCAGATTCGCTAACCTGCATCGCCGACCAGCCCCCCATTTTCAGAGAGGACAGTTAGTCTGGTTATCCACGAGGAACCTACCTCTATGCCTGCCATCCAAGAAGCTCTGTCCTAGGTACATCGGCCCCTTCCAGATTCTCTCCTGGATCACCCCGGTCACTTTTTGTCTCACGCTTCCCCCCACCTTCAGAATCCACCCATCTTTCCATGTCTCCCTCCTGAAGCCCTACCACCGTTCGCCCCTTGCGGCTCCCAAACGTCGCCCCTCACCCCCGCGTCTTATTCAGGAGCACCTGGTCTATACGGTCCTCAAGCTCCTCGACTCCAGATGGCACCATGGTACCATGAGCCAGGGGTAAGTTAGCTCCTCGGTGGGGGCCAGAATTACATGTGGTAGTGGGACCCGTAACAGACCAGAGTCCGGTATACAGGATTAGGCCTGAGGGCAGGGAAGGTCCGGAGAGGACACTACATTGCAATAACCTGCGTCTCTGCAACATCCCTCAGTTAGAGGACAGTCAGGACCAAGAGGAGTCAGTGTCAGAGGAAATCACAATGCAGGTAACAGAAGTGCAAAGAGGAGCTGAGTCTCCGACCAGAGGGTTTCCACTGTTGTGGACGTTTGCACCCTGAGTAGCTTCTCCGCTTGAGGTAACTTGCAGCGAACCACAAGAGGGATGGAATGGGCCACCACCAGAGACCAGTACCCTCCCCGAGCCTGAGAGGACTGTTGAAGAAGAGGGGAGGGTAGGGGAACTCGAGGCGACAGAGCGTGAGGGTATGCTGCGCAGATCAACCAGATCCACAAGAAGGGTTCAGCCTGCGAGGTACAGAGAGTAGCCTGTGTTCAGTACGACCATGCTTCTGGTGGTGGGGAGTGTCGCAGCATGTGGGCTATTGAGGCAGTAATAGGCTGTGATTGATTAGGTTATGTTGATTTCCAGGATGGTGTCAATGTTGCCTCTCTCTCAAGGGTGGTGATTGCAGTTGTCCCAATGAATACCATCTAGCAGAAACAGTCAGTAACAACAGTCACACCCAAGTAATTCAGGGAGCAATTAGGTATCGAGACTTGAAGGTGTGAGGAGTCACTGAGCCAGTTGTAGCCAGACCAAGGGAGGGAGAGGGAGAGCCGGAGAGGGAACAAAGAAGTGTTAAGGGCCCATGACACCTAGCTTGGCACTCCCACACCCCTCAAACAACACAAGGTTCCTCCTGGAAAAATACTGGGCAAACCCGATTCTGAAAGGGACAGTGGGAAACCCCATGTAGCTCTAAATAAGAGTAAATTTTAAAATACATGTAAAACTAAATGCTATTCCACATATTGTAACTTTGTGTTATTTAGAATTTTTATCTGAGGATGCAAGGGAAAGTATTATACCTTGCCAAACATCCAAGACAACTGTAAAAGAAGCTCGTATTTTAAGACAATTTTTGATCAAAAGAAAACCACAATCTGTATGATAATATCATCAATATCCCTCGATATCGACATTCAAAGAAGCAACTGCAGTAGCATAGAGTTTTGATTTGAGCTGATGTTTGCACCTCGATAATCCATTTGTCCTCGAAAGAAGCAAAGACAGGTGATTTGAGTGTCACCATGATCATCAATCCAAAAGAAAAGTTTTATATGATCCTGATCCCACTAGAAAAAGAGTCAATTTCCGCCTGCACTGATGTCCCTTCAAATGTATTGTAAGATCTCTGGACATTTATACAGTAGAAGCCTGGTCCATTTCTTCTACTAAACGAGACTATGGAAGTGAGTATTTTGATGTTGAACTTGGATTTAAATAAACAGAAACACTACACTACATTGGGCTACGCGTGTGATACAACGTTTACTTCCTGACATTTCGATAGCTCAGTTGCTAGAGCGTAAGACTGTAGAAAAAGCAGCAGGCATTTCTTATATCCCTGGTTTGAATGCAGCTCGAAGGATGGTGTTTTCTTGATCCTTAATCAAAAAATGAAAATTGCAAATTTGTCTTTTACTTTGACGTTCACCCGAAAGCTCAGTATACAAAGAAGTAAAGGCTCCTGTTCTGGATAATCCTCACGTCTGATTTTCTTGCTTAGACCTTTAAAATGTTGACTGCTCACTCTTCCTAACACAATTAAAGAGCCACGGACAAAATTAGCAATCGGAAGTTTACTTCAGTGGTAGCTGTCATGGAATCTTTATCAAAGGAGAGCCAGGAAAGGTGTTCTCATTCACTCAGTAAGGCCACTAGCAACCACTAGTCTGTGCAGCAAGTGCAAGGTGATTTCCAAAGCGAATTAAGGAAAATGTCTCTTATTTTATACACTTAGCTGATGCAACAACTCAACCTGTTTACTTCATTATGGTTGGTTAGTAATACAAAGACAGGCGAGACAGTAATTTTCCAGTCCTTATAGGTCTTAGTCTTGAAGGATAGAGAAGACAGCTACGTGCAGATTTGTATCTGCTGTTTTTGCTGGGGTAGAGATAAACATTATTAAAACATCCCGTGCCCTTGACTCGCTGGGTACAGTCACACTTTGTTCATAGTGTAGTGTCAAACAAATGACAAAGTTCAGGTGTCTGTGAAGCAGAAGTCCCTTTATTCATATGCATATGGAAGTCCGGCTTGTGACCACCAGACTTAAAAAATAAGTAGCTCCTTTATACCTTAAAACACAAAGACTTACTATGACATATTCTAAACAAATGATAAAACAGCAACACCTGCCAATTAATTATATCTAATTGCAGACTAGACAACAGTTAGTTCTTTTCATGTTCTGGGCGTGCAGCCAGCTTACCAAATACATGTCCCTTATCTTACTGACCAAGGACAGGCAGCATCTTTATATATATTTGAACCCAAAGCCTATGTCAAGCCACTAGACTGCATAGTTTGCAAAAACATACAAAAACAAGAAAATGATATTATCTCACTTCCCGGGTGTCTCTCTTATCTTCTTCAATAGAATCCAGCTGCTTTTACAACACAGCCCGTAAATGATATTTTTTTCTTCAGTAACTTTCCATTACATAGAAATTACCTATTGGGAGTTTAGGTCAGTGGTAGCGTGCATGTAAGAAGCTCCATTTTCTATTGCTAGCGTCTCCACTCTGGATTCTTTTCAAACACGACATCTTTCCTTCCTCGTGTGTTATTATAATTTCTGGGAGACACATAAACCCTTTGTCCATTTTAAAGAGACATTATTTTAAACCAGACAAAATAAAAGACGTAGTAATTAAACACACATACAAAACATGTACATTTTCACAACAGTTCTAATGTGATTGCTTGTTCTGCCTAGTCTGCTACTAAGTTTTTTAAATCCTGTGAAGAGTCTTCAGTAACATCTAATGGGCAGCAGCTGTTATTTACGGTTTGTTGCAATTGAGAACAGGTTTAGTAGAGCTGCTGAGAAATTTCAGCGGCCAAGTTAGATGTATCTGACCCGTTGTAGATACCATTCAGCCACAAGAAAAAAACAAACATCACTTGTGCCTTTTTTTAAAAAGGAAAAACAGAGTAGTAGTTATTGAGATAATTTCAGGTAGAATATAAGAACTGACGTTAACTAGTCCCACAGTAATGCGTGGGGTCCTATCAATAGAAAAAAAAATAGTTGTAACCCGAAAACACAAAAAACACAAAACGAAGTCTTCCGGGAACCAAGGTAAATCACTGTAGTAGTCTAACAATTATATATATATAAAAAATGAAACAACTTCAAAACAAAAAGAAAAAGAACCTTAAAAACATATCTGGGGAACAGCAAAAACACAGAATCTAACTGCAAGAGTTTTTTTCAGGTTTTCGGTACTCCATCTCGCTCCTCTCGTCTAAGCAGATATCTCTCATCTATCTGTGTACGGGTCAGTTGGAGGTCCACAGCAGATGGTTATTTAAGTAAGTAGCTGTGTCAGCATGCACGGGATGCAAAGGAATGAGTAAAGGTTTATTCCATGCTGAAATGAGAAGGAAACACAAAATTTCAGCAGTGGAGCCTTCTTTGGGTGTGATACAGGTGTGATCCTTGTTTCTTTCATTTTTATTTAGACCTGATCTCCAGCAAATACCTAAGAGCACCTAAACTCATCAGTTGCTTTCAGTAGCTTAAGACACAAGCCAATCTGCTGCAGGTGAGGTTCAAACTCACAACCTCAGCAGGACTCTTCTGTGCACTGCTGTATAAGTACCGCGCGCTGACCGATCACACCACTGGAGCTGTGTAGCTCCTTCTCCTCATACAGACTGACGCAGAAACACAGGGTGAAAACAAGGTTTCGGTTGTGGATCCATCCTCACATGGGGAAAAGGGACAGTAAAATAGCAAGGAAATACAAGAGAAGAAACTGAAAGAATTGTGCTCACTGCAAAGTATGAAGGAAAGAGGTGGCCGGATACGTAAAACAGTTTGGCGGATAATTTGTAAAAACATTCTTTGGTGACAATCAGCAGATGGATTTCTCTTCATGTTCCGCTGTGCAGTTTGAACATTCATTCTCCCAGATCAATAAATTATATGAGATCAGCTGATATAAATTAGGACTCATCAGAATCAATACAAATGATGTCTGGCTAAGGCAAGAAAACTTTGTACATGATCTGGAATGTGACTGGTTAAATTTCAGCACAGTTGCAACCCCCTTTATAAAGGGTGTGAACACGTATACGACAAAGGCATTGAAAGTTTTTTTTATTTTTGTTCCAAAAAATTTTCCATTGGTTTTCTTTCTCAAATGTCGTTGATTTAAAGATCTTAAAATCTGATTGTGACTTATGAGGATCCCGACAGTGGGTGCTTTCTCGCAGAGCCTGGATAGCTCAGTTCGTAGCACATCAGGCTTTTAATCTGAGGGTCCAGGGTTCAAGTCCCTGGCTGGGTGTTTGTGCTTTTCTTAAATCTATTGTAAATGTCATTATCAATCTTCTTTTATCTTTCACTCTTCTAGCTGTACTGTGGTTATTATAAATGTTCATCACTTGAATTTTCTTTAGTGTTTCCTTTCACAACCGAAAATGTTCAAGACGATCTTGTCACCGCATTCCATGTAGATATTCTAAATTAAGTCACAGTAGAGTGCAGAACACGCAGTGAGGAGCTCACGGAGTGAATACTCTTGAATACGACAAGAGGAAAGGCACACTACACATCTACAGAACATCACGTCCAAGTTTACAGTGACATCAGAGAATGAAAGCGAAGTAGTGTTTTATTAAAGGTCCAAGGAAATCTGAATATCTTTGCTAGAAGTATTTCAGAATCACAGTCAAATCTAGTACGATTCCTGCACAGATCTGCAATCTGCAATTAGAATACTGTTTGTGTGCTGTATAAAATACGCCATTCAAAACTTTTCTAAAACAGGAGAGATATTCTTGTAAAAATAAAATCTCTACACGGGTGCTATAAGCAGAGTCTGAAGCCTGCTCCACAGAAAAACTATATTCGGAGGGACAAAAAAGTGAATATTTCACCAAGTGAGAGGAAACATCTCAGAAAAAGGAGGTGCAGTCTCTTCCATGCAGCATAACAACACAAAGTCAGACTACAAATGTTAAAAAGCCGCTATCAAGGGTAACCTGGCCAAGCACTCTAAGGAGCTGGATTAAAGCTCCAGTTTCTTCAGGGGTGTGAGTTGGAATCCCACTGCTGCCCAGTATCTCCTTGTTAAGAATTATGGTTTTGTTGTTGTTGCCTCCATGAGATTAATCTGTTTCAGTAGAATTAATTTGAACAATTACATCATAATAATATTTGTTTTATTCCTCCTACCATTGCAATCTGTGCAGTAAGATTTAATTGTTGTATTTTAAATTTATGGGAAAGACAGTGTAACTGCAGGCATGGTAGCCAAGTAGTAAGGTGTCAGTCTTGTAAACTGAAGATCAGAGGTTCAGACTGTGCCTCTTTTGTTTACCACAACTCTCCTTTATCTAAGTCATCAATTGTCATGCATTGTAGAAATCTCTGTAATAATAAGAAAAAAACTACTCGAATTACTACTACTAGACTTATCTTACTTTATAATCCTTCTGTTGTTCGAGCGTAAGACCACTCAGCCAGCCTCCACTGCTTGTCAGGATGGCTGAGTGGTCTTAGGTGCCAGTTGTGCCAATGTTAGGTGCCAATGTTATTCACAACACGGACTTCCCTTAATGTTCACTAAGATGTGTAATTTGTATGTTGGTTGTATGAGAACAGTTTCTTCAAAAGTCCTGTCAATTAACAGTGAAGAGCTATCCAATATACGTCTTCATGAAAGCTCTCTTTAAGGCGATTACTCTTGAACAGTCTCTTGAACATATCTGCGTCATATTTTTTAAAATAGTTTAGCTCAAGATGCAACAGGAGTATAAATGAATTCTCCCGCCCTCCATTACAAGATAAAACTCGATGTGTGAATCTTATTTTCCTTGAAGTTGATTATGTTGGTCATTATTGGAAATGCCCGGTGATATTGACTCAGGTACTCAGTAGGTAGATGCTATAATTCAATACATCATTCAAGCATTTCTATTCCCTCCAAGTATCAATAAGATCAATAATTTGTTAAACATTTCATGCCAGTTTTTCCCATAGATGATGTTAATGTTGGAACAGTGAGAAAGGCATGCCTCATTGTGCTTGAACCACCATCTTACTCTCATCTTAGTCCCAACCTGACCACACTAAGCAATTGTACCGCATAGACTCCAATAAGTCAGTTTTCACCATTTGCAGTTTTGGGTAAAAAATAATCTGCACTTTTAAGCTAGTATTGTATTTCAAATTTCGCTAATTGTAAGTATTTCTTGAAAAACATTGTTTCAGAAAGAAACTGAGTAGACGGGAATAGCCCAGTCAGTAGAATATCAAACTTTTCATCTCAGGGTCCCTATTCAGGCAGCGGATTTTCTTGCAACTACTGTGAACCTGCTAAGCAGATTGTCTTTTGTCCCTCAGTTTTTCAAGTTGTTGTATGAATGTTTAAAATGTTCAATATTTTTCATGCTCTTAAGCACTTTCCATCACAATGTTTCTGGTGTTCTCGGTGCTGTGCAGCACGTAGATAATGTAGACGAGAGCACAGGTAATTAAATATTATTAACAATTATATAATAATCATATTTGTTTCATTCCTCATACCATTGCAATTTGTGCATAAAGAATTTTTTTTTTAGTTTACAAACGTATTAGCTTTAATAAGAAAAAACATGGAACCATATCCGCCGTGGCCAAGTTTTGTTGGTCTTGTAAACTGAAGATTGTGAGTTTGAACCCTGTTTGTGCCCGTTTCATTTACCATGACTTTCCTTTATCTAATTCTTCGACTGTCGTGTAATTTAGAAATCTCTATAATAAGAAAAAACAACTGTTGCTAGTGCGTTATAATCCTTCTGTTGTTTTAGTGTAATTTTCCCTGATTTTGAGTCAGCAAAACTTGACTCTCTTCACATCCAATTTATAAATAAACGTTTCAGTGAACAGAAGGAACATGCGTTTGGTACAGCCTCCACTCCATGGTATGATCACATACAGATCGCGTGAGCTGTTAGTATAGGTTGGCAGTATAGTTTAATGTGCTGAAAAACTAGGGACGTGCAGACGGTGTAACTTAAACGAGTACACAACAAAATTATTGGAACAAAACATTGCCTGCCTGCAAGACTATGTCATGCTAAACGCCACGTATTCGTCTGGTCGTCAGTTGTCCTAAAGCTTCGGAAAATTGGATGCAACTGCTCTCCAGCACTCTTCGGGATGCCTGAGTGGTCTAACTCTTGTCTTTCCATGTCACTTATGTTCTCCAGTCTCTAAGTGTCATGCACTATTCCAGTCTTGTATTCGCTGGCAACCTCAATAGGAGAAAAATGGAGAAACTGCTTAGCAAGAACATAATGGACAGGAAAATGCTTCCTGAACAGTTAAATGTCTTTCGCAGAAAGGAAAATTTGGACAGGTTTTGATTTCTGCATTGAGAACTGTTTGTGCTGTCTGTAATCAAGGACATTTACTGCTTAAAGCACTTAAAGCTCCACACTGGCGGGAATTTCCATAGGTAATGATCAGCTGTACTTGCATGCTAATCAAAATAACTATTAAGAAACTTTTCCCAATACCATTTTCAAAGAGACTTTGTAGTTGATGAGAAATGGCTTTTATCTGGCACTTTTCATGTCTGAGGACCTCAATGTGCTTTCCGTGTACAAGAGGATGTCCAACTCATTTAGCTAAAGACATAAACGATAGTGCTCCACTTGAATCTTTATCTCACAACCCTCGGCATGACTCCGCTGTGTTCTGCTTTAGAGAAAGCGGGGAAAATACTTTTTTCATCACACGTTTTACACTGTTTACAGTGTTTGCAGTGCTCTTTTTAAAATGAAAACCAGGAATCCACCCCATCTGAAGTGAGACTAGATAATATTGGAACAAGTAGTCTCGCCATTCCGTGTGTGACGTGAGCAAAGTGTAATTCCTGTCTTTATAGTGTGCTTGTTAGAGAGTTAGCTGGCACCCAGAGCGCTTTAAATCCGGGAGACAGCAGCCCAAGACAAGAGAGCTTCCTTCGTCTATGTTTTTTGCGTGAAGGGGGGAAACCATGCGTGTACTGCAAACGATCTTAGTATCAAAGTGCCATCCTACATAACCGATCCGAACAATCTACTTTACAGAGGAGCACTGCCGGAGCTTATCGTTGGCAAACTGAAGACCAGGCCGACCTCTTCTGTGACTCTTGAACACTGAATCTCAAGATTGTGAATTCAAGCTCCACGCTGGCGGGAAATTCCATAGGTAATGATCACATTTTCTTGCATGCTAATCAAAAGAAATATTACCGATATCAGTTTTTTACAAAAGTAAAGGCACACGGCACATATGTGGCACATCACGTCCGAGTTTAGTGACAACTACCTCAGAGATTGTAAGCTGGGTAGTTTCAGATCACTTTTTTATTAAAGGTTCAAGCAAACCCGAATACCTTTGCAAGAGACATTTCAGAATCCCAGTCAAACCCAGTACGATTACTGGATCCCTCGAATTTGGCTGAACTATAGCACAGATCTGCAACCCACGATTAGAATACTGTGGGTGTGTTGTATAAGCCATACCACCCAAAATAGTTCTAAAACAGGAGATGCATCCTCGTTTAAGAATGTGATATAAAGTGAAATGGTCTGGGAAGAGTCCTACCTTTGAACACTTCAAAATAGACGTAAAGGGGTATTTACGGACTCTTTCGAAATGTAAGAACAAGCTGTGCGGACCTTATCTTTACTAACCTTGTGTAAACGTTTTTCATAAAGTGTAATTGTATTATAGCATGTGCCCCTGATGATTTTCTTGATATGTTATATGTGCTCTTGTTTGTATTTGTAGCGGTGAGGCTTAATAATAATG